CCGCTCAGGCCTAGGTCCTGGTTTCATTTCATTTCCTGCCTCTGCAGCCTGCCCACCTCATTCTGCTCCCCAGGATTTTTGTCTTCAGCAACTCCAGGCTCCCAGGTCCTTCGGCCTCCTGCTGTCCTCCACTTTCTGGCTCTGTCACCATGCTTTACTTACCCAGTAGCTAAGCCAAGTAAGATAACCTCCACCCAGGTTCAGGAGGATTTGTCCATCAGCATCCTGGTGGGCCACAGACAGAGTAGAAGCCTTGTCCCCCAGGGCAGCAGATAGTTGTGCGGTGCGGCTGAGAGCGGCCGTCCTCGGCCCCCAGTTTTCTCTGTTTAACTCTAGCTGCTGCATTCTGGTTCCCAAGAGCAAACTGGGCAGGTATATATAATTTCCTCGTTCGCAGCTCTCGGGCATGTGGCTGGTGGTAGGAACACTGGGTATGTTCTGTGAAAGAGCAAAGCGCCGTTCATCCCCTCCATCGTCGGGGATCGATGTCATCATCCACTTTGTTACCTCTTGCTGAGGAACGGTCTGCCCCAAAATTGACTGGTCTAAAACAATCCTGAGACTTCATTCCTTACAACGCTGTCACACTGACTGCTTCACTGGGCAGATAGTCTGCTCTTTCTGGAGGGTGGCTGGACTGAAATGCCTAAAATGGATTTGCCTTTCTGAGTCTTAGCTAGAACGGCTGGGGCACCTGAGGCCTTTTGTTTTGTTTTTGGTACCAGGAATCAAACTCAGGACCTTGCACTTGCGAGGCAGGTGTGGCACCACTGAGCTAAATCCCATATCCGCTTTCTAGTTCTGAGCTTTCAGCTTCTCTTAGTATTTAAAAGGCTACTGTGTCTCTTCGGCTACATTCTATTGGCCAAAACAAATCACAGACCGGTCTAGACTCAAGAGAAGGAACATTCCAATGCAATGAGGGGAAGAATTGGTCAGGTCATCTTTGGAAATTACCATAGTCTATCTAGTGATACAGCTCTTGATTTATTGGTCTTCCCTTTGTATTCTTTTTTTTTTCATAAATTTAACATCCTATTTAAATTTTTATGTGCAAAAAACTCCATAATCAATATATATCACTTGATGAATTTGGAAACAAATGCATACCCATGGAACAGTCACCACAGTGTTTATCATAAACCTATCCAGCATCTCTCAAAGTCCCTCCTGCTGTTTTATTTATTATCATTGTATGGGAAACACCATGTAATACATGGGTCCATTTACTGCCAGCAGAGCACACTCAGTAAGCCTGTGCTTAGACTGAGGACCATGACAGGACAACACTGAGTAAGAAGAATACCAAACTCAGAGCTGGGGCACATCCTGAAAATCCTACAAAGGCGGCAGAACCTTTTTACTAGGTGTGTGTGTTAGATGGGTCTTACTGTGTAGTCAAGGCTGACCTCGAACTCACTACATCACCCAGGCAGGCCTCAGACTTGTGGCAATCCTCCTGCCTCCGCTTCTTGAGTGCTGGGATTACAGGCGTGCACCATAGCACCTGGCTGTATTTTGTATTTTTAAAAGGTTTTTTTGATATATTATTCATATGCCATAATGTACAATTCAGTGATTGTAATATATTTATGAAGTTGTGAGCTATCACATTAATCTAATTTTAGAACCTTTTGATCACCTCAAAAGGAAACGTTGGCCAGGCGTGGTGGTGCACTCTTCTGATCCCAGCACTTAAGAGGCTGAGGCAGGAGGATTGTCACAAGTTTGAGGCCAGCCTGGGCTGCTTAGTGAGTTCTAGACCAGCCTAAACTGCATATCAAGACCCTGTCTCCAAAAAAAAAAAAAAAACGGAAACATTATCAGTCATTCCTTGTACCACTCCTTCCTCCTGTCTTGGGCAATCATTAATCTCCATTTTCCACAGATTTGCTTATTCTGGACATTTCACATTAATAGCAATAGGATCACATAAATGGAATTATACAATGTAGCCCTTAATGACTGGCTTCTTTCACTTAGCTTCATGTTTTTGAAATTCACCCGTGTTGGAGTATGCATCAGTATTTTATATCTATTTAAGGCTGAAAGATATCCAATTGCATAGATATACTGCATT